TTTTAAATCCTAGATATTATCTTCATTGACTGTGTAGATGTAATATGCATACCTTATAGCGTTCGGGTTTATGTTTGATTTTTGAAATGTTATTTTCATTTAAGAGTATTAATTAATATTTTTTTTTTGTTACGAAAGTAATGACTTATCTCGTTGCAAACTGTTAAAAGTTGGCAATCTTTTATTTAAAACTTTATAAATGTCTCCAATTGGTATAAAGATTTTAACATCTGGAGAGTTAATGAGAAAGAAATCTGGGAAAATGTAATTATTGGCTCAGGACGTTATAGCATTGATGTATGCTGTCTCCAATGAACCAAAATCAAAGAATATATTATTTATTTATTTATATTAATATCAGAATTAGACATAAAAATGTAAAAGATTTGGAAACTAACAGAATGATGGAAATGATTTTATCACCAATACCAATTAGATGAATAATTAACATTAACGTTGGACGAACAAATATAGTATTCAAGCCCTGTCGGCTGGAGCTGTAGAATACGCCGACTGCATCTCTGCAGAGGGGTAAGACATCTCCCCCACCAATGGGGTTGTCCTGGGTATGACGATAAACTACATCCACGTCCAGGTTAAGACGATAAACTACGCCCAACAGCAAGACCTCTGATCAGGAGGTTTTGAGCGTGGAGCCATCTCTTAATTGCTGATATTCCCAGGTCCGCCCTGACCCGGGGTGGTAGTACCTGTTAGGGTCCCAGCTATGGGCAAATACTTAACACCGAAACTGAGACTACATCCGCGTTCTGGGTATGACGATAAACTAAATGCGTCTAGTGTAAGACGATAAACTACGTCCAACAGTAAGGTCTCTGATCAGGTGGTTTTGAGGATCGTAGAACCACCTCTTAATTGCTGGTGTTCCCAAGTCCACTCCGATCCGGGGTGGTAACATCGGTTAAGGTCCCAGCTATGGGCAAATAACTAACTCCTAAACTGGAGTTAAAACACTGGGAAAGTGTAAATATAAGTTTTAATACCAGAAATACTTTGTAAAAAAGTATTACCAGAAATAAATTTTTGAAGGAAAAAAAATATTACCAGCAATGTTTTTGAAAAAATATTACTAGCTATACATTTTTGAGAAAAAAATATTAACAGAAATAGATTTTTGACAAAACAAAAATATTACCAGAAAAAAAAAGTTGTCGGCATTAAATGACCCATTGATGTTGATATGCCGTAAAACAAAACAAACCAAACCAAATATAGTATTCACATTAAACAACGAGATTTAATGAAATATCTATATATAAAATTCTGTAACATTCGTTAGTCCGTCACACCCGCTAGAATAGCCATACATTGACTGATTGAAACCAAAATTTTAGAAGTGCAAACAGGTAAGGAGGTAGAAAAGAGGGTACTAGGGTGCATAAAACCACGAAGTAGGATTCTTGTCAAACTATTTTTCAAAATAAATCAGCTTACTCAAATTTCATCGATTGGTTTGTGACATTGAACAAAACGTAGAATGTGTAAACCTCGACAAAAATGTTAGCGACAACTTCAACAATATTAAATACTGTAAGGGCGAACAAATAGGAATGGGAATATCAACAATAATAATACTGTAAGAACGTCATCGTGTTGCAAAAAAAAAATAACTTGTTCTCCGAATAAAATACTTTGAAGAGCTGGAAGATATGTAGCATTTTCAAGAGTCAACCAAAGACAGGGAGTTTTTGGAGAGGACTGGTAAAAGGACATTTACAAAGTTGCGGAAGATTAAAAATCACATTAATTTGCAGTTTACCTTCAAGTCGAAACAGCTCTCATGAAGATGATTAAAAATTCTGTCTATTAGTCGATTTCAATTTTAGGATAAATATCAAGGATTTGGCACGTATAAAAATATAGAAACAATAATATTATCTCTGAATTGACATGGCTTCTTTGGAAAGAACACTGCCTGATTTTCCGTTGCCTTGCCCACCGATTTACGAATTCAGCGTCACTGTCCTTCAACAATGGCTGCCATCAAAGCCTAAAGAGCTCAGTCAACCTTACTATGTAATCCATAGATTGTGGGAAGAAGAGACGGGTTCATACCTTTCCTAAGGGTATTAATGTGAATTGAACACAAGAAATGTAACCGGAATTTAAACTCGATTTGTTGATTCCATTTTCAGAAACAATGACCACTTAGTAAACAGAATTCATAGTCACCACTTAATTAAGTACATTGATAAGAAAGAAAAAAAATAAATAAATGTTATGTAACATGATTGCTTTATTGCTAGAATATAGGACGCATGTTTTACTGGGACGTTTTTGGAGATTTATCGCCTGAATCTATCTTACATATTTATAAGTCTACCAATTCATCCATCCTTCGAATATTGCTGCCACATCTGGCCCGGTGCAGCTACTGCGTACTTAGAGATTCTTAATAAAATCTAAAGAGAATCTGCAATATTATCTTACTTATAATATAAAACGCAGATTGTGTGTGTCTGTGTGTCTGTACGTTTATATATTGGATCGGATTTCCTACATTTTTCAACCGATTTCAACAAAACTTCACAGGACTGCGTAAAATTACCTTGCGGTGGTTCTGACAGCGCCAAAAATTGGAAAAACACAATTGTTTTTGCACGAAGTCAATTTGAAAACACGATAAAAAACTATCCTGTCGCCAGAATGGAAGGGGACAACTCATATCGAGTTATACTTATTATAAAACCCAGGTTGTTTGTGTGTGTGTGTGTTTGTGTGTTCGTTTATATATGGGATCGGATTTCCTACATTTTTCAACCGATTTCAACAAAACTTCACTTTTTCTTGGCAGGTAGTGTTTTTATTGTTTTGCACACTTTTTTCTTTATTTTTACATTCAGAATGCTTTAAAAATTCCATTTACAAGACAATTGTTTATAATAAAATTCTATTCAATCGGTGGACTCATAACGATTGAAAACAATGTTTTTGTTTGAGTTTGACCAATTCGTAAAAAAAAAACCCCAAAAAACAAAACTAATTAAGACATGCGTGTCCGTCAACCTTAAACAATAATCTTTGTCAATTTTATTTTTCAGTCTTTATGATGGCCGATACTTGATCTATCTCTTACTGTTACATCCCCGGGCAACGCCGGGATCTAATGCTAGTCTGTGATAAATGTTCACCACTGAATTAAGTGCATTGACAAGTAAGCAGATTATGCTGAGAACTAAATAAATGTTATGAAAAATTGCTTTTTCTTCATTAAGCAATGGACGCTGGGAAGTATAGTGCAATCATAGAAAGACGCATAGCGGAAGCGAAAGATGCCTTTCAGAAGTGAAGTAAAGTATTAAGATATAGTAAAATGCCGTCAAAAACAAAGAAAAGAATGGTGAACTGTTGCGTAATATATAATCTTCATGACGCTGAATGTTGGACAATCTTCTGACAGATGAAAAAGAGATATATAAGTGGTAGTGATGTGGTTTGCTTTGGTTAGTTGATTTTGTTTATTGGCATATCAACACCTCTATGGGTTATTTAATGTCTAAATCTAAATATCCTGAACGCAATTGCATGCTCTCAACTGGACATAAAATGCCGGCCATTTTACGATAAAATGTATTGTTGGTAATTCTATTGTAAATACGTATTGTTAGTCATTTTACTATAAATATGTATTTTTATACTTTCATTGTTTTGTTCGGGGTTTCACTATTTGCCGATAACTAGGACCCCTAACAGGTGCTACCACCCAATGTCAGAGTGAACCTGAGGACAAGAGCAATTAAGAGGTGGTTCTACGCTCCTCAAAACCTTCAATCTTCCGATCTGAGGTCTTACTTCCGGATGTAATTTCTCGTCATACCCACGATCATCAGTGGGTGCAAAAATCTGGGTAGTATTCCAAAGGAACATAATAAGAGTAAAAATGCCTTTCAGAAACTAAGCATGGTATTAAGGAATCGAAAAATGTCTTAAGAAACAAAAATTTTAGCATGTGCTGGTAATTTTTACTATAAATATGTATTTTATACTTACATAGTGTTCTGTTTGGGAGTTAACTATTTTCCTATAGCTGGGACCCTAACAGGTGCTACCACCGGTGGTCAAGGGTGGACCTGAGAACAACGGCAATTAATAAGTGGTTCCACCCTTCTGAAAACCCCCAATCTCCCGATCACAGGTCTTACTGCCGGATGTAGTCGATCGTCATACCCAGGACTATAGTGGTGTGGTTCTGCCGAAGGATACTGAGAACACCACAGAAATTGAGTAACAAGGAAGTTTTAAGACAAACAGAAACTACAAGGAAACGGATACTTGCAATTTGAAAAAGACAACTAAAATTTCTGGCTGACATACTGAGAGAGGAGAGCTTAGAGAATTTAACACTCCTAGGGCGGAAGCAGAAGAAAAGAGCAAAGTTTGAGTGAACGGATTGTAGAAAAAGGATCATGTGCGGTACTAAAGTGGACATGTGCTATGTTGCTTTCAATCTGTACTGGAATGTCTATTTACCCCGGTCACACAACTGATACGTGATGTGACGCAGGGTCAAATTGTGCTTTTCTAAGGATAGCTTAGATGTGGCGCAAGGCCGAAAGTATGGGGCACCCAGTGAGGATCGAACTCACTACTCAGACGTAATTGTTCTAGCGAGGCAAACTTGCTAGCTATTACAGCACGCCGAGGTGCCCTAAAACTAGCTTAGTTGTGGCACAAGTCTGAAAGTATGGAGCACCCAGTAAGGATCGAACTCATTGCTCAGTCGTAACAGATCGAGAGACAAGCTTGCTAACCATTACACCACAGAAAGCGCTCGAAACTGTATTGGAATGACAGAAAAAAAATCCCCCACCCCAGACTTATAGACAAATTGCAGCAGATGCATGCTGGGATTTCTTCCAAGACATTACGATAGACTACTCCTCGGTCTCATCCGCCATATTCTTGCGATTTCTCTTCTTGAAATCAGAACGTTTTGATCACTTGCCTGTATCCCTTTTGTGTGTTAACGCCATTCTTAGTCTGTGAACTTTTTACCGTATTACTATTGTTTTGCTTATTTTTGTCGTGCATATCTATCTATCTATCTATCTATCTATCTATCTATGAGGTCGTTCTTTATCTATCTAACTATCTATCTATCTATGAGGTCATTTTTATCTATCTATCTATCTATGAGGTCATTTTTATCTATCTATCTATCTATCTATCTATCTATCTATCTATCTATCTATAAGGTCGTTCTTTATCTATCTATCTATCTATCTATCTATCTATCTATCTATCTATCTATCTATGAGGTCGTTCTTTATCTATCAATTTATCTATATATCTATGAGGTCGTTCTTTATCTATCTATCTATCTATCTATCCATCTATGAGATCGTTCTTTATCTATTTATCTATCTATCTATCTATCTATCTATCTATCTATGAGATCGTTCTTTATCTATCTATCTATCTATGAGATCGTTCTTTATCTATCTATCTATCTATCTATCTATCTATGAGGTTGTTCTTTATCTATATATCTCTCTCCTCTTTTTATATATATATATATATATATATATATATATATATATATATATATATTATGTTTGCTTAGTATAAATTTTGCCCTGTTCTTTTCTTTCTTTTCTTATTGTTTATTAGAAACTTTGTCAGTTTTGTTTGTTGGGTATATCTGCCAATTTCATTTAAACATGACCAATTACTTTACAAGTTACATAAATCTACAAAGGAAGTTATGGAGAGTCCTGATCGCCCATCTTTAGAAATTGTATAGCCTATAAAAAAGAATTACACGTCATGAAAAATTGTTAGTTATTTGCGGGATACTTGTTAAATAATGAGGAAAGACGGCTTAGAGAATTTGACACTCCAGGGCATACTGAGAGCAAGAGGTCCAGAGGAAACCCTAAGAGCTTTTTTTTTTTTTAAATGAATGGCCGAATAGAGCCTGGAGGGAGTAGTCAGAGGTTAAAAACTGATTAGAGCTACAAAGGCTGGGAAGTTGTGGAGAATAATGATCACCGACGTTGTGAAGAGACACAGCACATGAAAGAAGAAGCAGCAGCAGATGATGATGATGATGATGATGATGATGATGAAGAAGAAGAAGCCTTTTTGCGTGTATTAGGTAGTCATATGTTTCTGGCTATAAGCCGCCTACTCTCTATGATGAGAGCATGTGCGTGTGGCTACAAAAACTTCTTAACTTTGGTGTGACGCAGAATTAAATGTGGAAGAAATGGGAGGTGGGAAAACTTAGTGGCACCCAGCTAGGAGGTCTTGTCTACTTTGAAAGTCCTCGAACATCATCCACTGGCGACAGTGGGTGATACGCAACTAAAACAAATAGGTCAGGACTTCTCAAACTTTGCCACCGCCCGCGAAATGATACCAGATGATTTTTTTAACGCTTCTTCCTTTATTTGTTTTTAAAACTGACAAACAGATGGCAAATGAAATCTAATAATCAATTAAACAATTTATAGCTTAATTTAATCTATATCTATAATTCTCAAAATGCGTGTATGTATGTGTGTGTGATCGGGTGTTTTTTTATGCATTTCCACAGTTCTCATCCGATTTCGGTGATTTTTTTTGTTTGATAGATAATTCTTCAGTACCGGTTTTTGAGCCAAAATTGTTGGCGACAATGGCTCTTCACTACTTCCTGTCTATTATAACTCTTAGCAACGTTTTACTATTATTTGTTCTTGGCTATATATCTTTCATAAAATCTTTAAAATAAATAGTTTAAATTATTAAAATAATATGATTTATTATTATACAGGTTTCCTTTTCAAGGCCAACCCCCATTCAAATTGATACCCCCCCCTTGGGGGATGTGCCTCAGTTGCGCCCAAATGTTGTTACTAATATTGATTTTCGGGTGGCCTGGCTTTAAACTTAAACTGCTCCAATTAAACGGCAAAAATTTCCAGTAATGAAAGACGCGGTCAAAGACGCGTTATTCTGCTAGTATTTAATATGTTTAACTAGCAGGCTTCGCCCGCTCGGTAACTGGTAATTTTTCTAGGAAAAATTAGTTGTTTTTCTCTGTGATTAATGTTTACTATTTATGAAATGTTGAATGGCTTGTGGACGTTCAATATATTTGTTCGAAGAATATGACTGTGGGGATTTGTTATAGTTAAGGAAAGATTTACAAATAGATGCCAACTTGTTGAAGGCCAAGTAAAATGCAAAATTCAAATACATTGCTGCCCTATATAAGACAATATTATTAAACAGAACTATTTTTGATATGAAAATCAAAATAAGCCTTGAATAAAAGAACAGTAATGAAGGACAGTTAATTAATGAAATATACTTTTTTTTTAAATCAATATGCAAATTAGTTAAACCTGAAAAATGATATCGCTTACAAGTATATAATATATAACTCAGATATCGCGCATTTAATATGTTTTGTTGTTTAGTGTGTTGACTAGTTCAGTCTGATGTCGGACGTTCGGTTGGTCGGTTGAACTCTCTGCCTTCTGGCGGGTAGGAACCCGAACTAGTCTACGCCGAAGGGCGGAGTCTCTTTCGGGGAGATAAACCGACCCTAAACCCGTTTATACGGTTCAAAGGGCATGTTTTTGGCTGAGCCCACGGGTTTGGAGATCCCACGTTAAACCGGCCTTGTGCCACATGATGCCCTCGTAGACGGGGGGACTAAATACTAGTGTGTTTTGTCTTTGTACCCTTTTTGCGTAGTTACACGTTTACTTATCATCTCTCGGTCGCGTCTTTGGGAAGAGTTCGCTCAGGATTTTCTCTGTCAAAGGACAGAGGGGCAACTGAGAAAATTATACTGGGGGAACAGCTGGCCGAGGCCGCGCCCTCCCATTGCACCAGAGGAAGGGATCGATGCTCGCACCGTGGCCAGCGCAACTGACGGTTGCGGGGGGCTAAGGGCAATTTTTGTTCCCATCCCGGTCGTACGAGCTCGGCTCCCCACCTAAAAATAGACCTTGTGTCACATCTCGTCCTCAGGGTAAATACCGCCTGCTTTTTCTTTGTTGTATTTTTAGATTGTTTTCTGGGTTCATCTCCTCCCCCATCATTTCATGAAGCATGAAATTTTTGTAAAAAACGAACTTTACAGCCTTTCAAATTTTTATTTCATGGGGTGTTTTGTGGGCACTCTGTGAATTTGCGGTATTGTGGTATATGCAGGACTAAGTGGTGATGGATGTGTCCTTGTGCTGCTGAATAAATTGTATTGAATGAATAGGTCGTGAGTCGGATTAACTAGGATTAGGATAACTAATGAAGACCAGCTCCTCCCTATTTCTCAAATTACTATAGAGTTGAGACCTTTTAACCTCAGAATTCGTGGGAGAATTGAACCCCAATTTCGCATTTAGAATATAGAAGAGTAATAATCATACCAATTTATACATAAAGGAATTGTACAATATTTACAATTTTTTTCATATCACTATTAAGCACTATTTGTGTTTAATTCTGTAAAAAGTAATGTAAAAAGATCCCCCTACAGAAGCCAAAACAAAATTTGTTCATACCATGTGATTACTTTAAAATTTAAAAAAGTATGCTTTTTTTAAAAAAAAATTCGTAACCTGAAGTGGTTAATCGATAGCAACGAATTTATATTGTTATATATATATATATATATATATATATATATATATATATATATATATATGTGTGTGTTTGTAAAAATCACAATAAGAGGGATCAATTTATAATGAATTTACAAAGCAAACTGGACCCCCTATTGACTTTTATAAAAATTAATTAGAAAAAGAAATCAATATTCATGATGGAGAGCCGAGTTCCAATTCCAGTCGGGTTCGTTATATTCACCCACGCTCAAATACCAAGGAAAAACGTATGAATCCACAACTTCAAACCTACTCACATCTATGGGTTAATTAGTAGTTGCATGACTAAATCTTTATTATCACAAAAAAATATTTTCTGTCTTTAAATAACCTGCAAATGTTGATAAGCCATTAAAAATAAATCAATTAAAATAAAATAAAATTATAGTTATTATCTGAAGTTAATCCAAAGATTATCGACCAGGGAAAGTTCAACCCCAAGGTTAATCAAGACATGCCCACAAATGTTTTTTTTTTTTTTTTTTAATTTGGGTATTTTGGTTTTCCCCACTCCTTTCTAACTTGAAATGAGCTGCCGAATTGTTTTCTGGTTTCCCCAAAGAAATCATATTCATCATAATTTATCTATCATCACCTAATGAGGGCCAATTTTAAAGTTCCGAAACTTGGAATATTTTATGTAGCGATGTAAAACATTATAATAAAAGTATTATAATAATAAAAATATAATAATAATAATAATATACATACTTATCTATCTATCTATCTATCTATCTCTCTCTCTCTCTCTATATATATATATATATATATATATATATATATATATATATATATATATATATATAACGATATATAATTAGGTATAATTTTATATATCAACAAACAGTATATAGAAAAATGACAAATTGGAAAAGTTTTTGTGACGCGTATCAGGCCAATGAAATTCTCACAGACGAAACGCGTCACAAAAATTTTCCAGTTTGTCATATTTTTTAATATATATATATATATATATATATATATATATATATGTGTGTGTGTGTGTGTGTGTGTGTGTGTGTGTGTGTGTGTGTGTGTGTGTATTCATACATGTTTCATTAAATAATATAGACAAGTGTTGTCTATTTTATGTAAATATGTATGAATGAAAAATGCTGCCTAAATACACACAATATATATATATATATATATATATATATATATATATATATATATTGGTAGAGAATTAAAAGTTAATGAAAAGGAAGAGCTTGGTTATGACTTAGTGTTGATGACTATCAATTACATATGTGTGCGTCATATTACGCAATATGAAAATTCCGAAACATTATCATATAACTACTGTAAGTTTTTGGCAGTTCTCAACTATTCGTAAAAATTCTTTAATTTTCAAAGATTCTCTATGCTATTTATGCCACCCTTTTTTTTAAAATCTCAGTCGACCCCTTTATTACCTATATCTTCTCCCCGCCCCTATGTGATCCTAACCCCACTAAGAGGTGTTGGTACGCACATTAAAGCCCAATGAATTAAGTTGACCATATATCAAATTTCAGTATAGAACGTAAACATCTAATTTATATATATATATATATATATATATATATATATATATATATATATATATATATATATATACAGAATCCCTCGATTAGGGCGGCTAAAGTGGAAAACGCATTAATTGAATATAAACAAAATTAACAAACATAGCCATTTTTAATTTTTATATTTTAGAAAATTTTTAATTATCGGTAATATAATATCAATTTTTAATTACT